CAATGAATGAATTCAAAATGAAGCTTTTTTGCTATTTTTGATCTACTGATCATTCATTATCGTATAATTTGTGAAGGAGCACCGCACCGATTCCTAAATCACTATTTGCTCTTGAGGAGGGTCGAGCAAGCAGAGGTGCATTTATTACACTAGCAGGACGGTAAGGACCTGACGGAGGAGCGGTCATTCCACTTGGTGCACCTTTCCACATTCCCTTCGATTCTTGATGCAAAATGCCACTTGTGCCTGTGAAGTTTTTATTTTTTATCAACCTACAGTATGCGAGAAACACTTGTATTAGTAAACTATTACAAAAATAGGAAACAGAAACAAATTACTTTCAAAGTGTTCCTTTAATAGCAAAATTAGCACATTGCATAGGTAATTAATTCAGCTTACATTGATTCCCTACCACAAATAAGCCTTTATAAATGCAAAGTTCACGTTTACTCTTAGCTAATGCTGATATCATGAAGTTACCTACATTATATTCATTTTAATCTCTACTTTTTCTGCATATTATTATTGTGGATATTTTGTCATTCTTATTGAATAAAAATCTCTCACTTTCAAACAATATTTTACTCTCACTTAAACTTAAACTTTAGCCAAAAGGTAATAATTAAATATTAAGTTTACAAAAGAAATCTTTAATTTTTTTTCCAATTTTAAAGCTTAAAAAACCAAAAAACAAATTTTTGCTTGCTTTACTTCAGTTTTTTGTTTGCATCAATAATTAGACGCAAAAAAAAACTGTCATTTTTTCTTTAAAAAAAATTCAAACGAAAAAATAATTTACTGTAAATATTATTTGCATCGTAATGTGCTCGCATCGTTTCTTGTACATTCGGAACTGTTCGTAATTTACCTAAAAACACCTAAATTGCTCTACTGTGAAATAATTGCTTTTTCATTCTGATAAAAAATTTGATAAATTTAGATTCCAAAAAAATTAAGAAAAAAAATCCGTAGAAAAAATGAAAAAATTAAATTTAAAAAATTTGTACTTAAATATTTGAAGTAAAATCAGTTGTTAGAGAATAATAAAAAAGTATTAACATGACTGTTGTTGGGTACCATAGATTTGCGATACATCCTGGTTGAAGTGTGAATTAAACGCTGAACCACGTAACGTATTTATTGACGTCGCTTTTTTTAATGTGCCTGATTTAAACGGTGTGTATGGGAAAGGTTGTTTTAAATCTTCACGCTGAAATAATCAAAATTTTACAATTTATTCGCATCAAAACTGATTTTATTTCAAAGAAAATTTAAAAGCATGAAAACAGCAATATCAATTTTTAGTTGAAAATATTAGTTGTCTTAAAAGTTTTAGACTTCTGATGAAAAAGTTTCCTTCAAAATTTTATTTTCAAATTACTTTGTGAATTAACGTTGCTCCATCTTTATATCACGTTATCTGAAACTATGTATTAGTCATCTAAATATAGCTAGTAATTACTAAGTTATTACATTTAACAACTATACCAAAGCTTCGTACCTTTACCAAAACTACAACAATTCTAGAACTAAATTGGGATTTTGATTCCTTAACATTTTGCTTACATTTGTTGTTGAGTTACGAATTCAATTTTCCATTTATTCCAAATATTCTAACACCGGCAAATATAAAACTTCATTTACTGCACTAACTTCACATATTCAAAGACTAATTTATTTAAAAACAAACGTAGAAGATCAAGTTCAATTTAGTTTTCACGTATCAAAATTAAATGATCGTTTACGTAAAAGATAGAATTAATTCAATATTTTTCGACTTTTTCTTTTCGAAAGTTATGCTAAGCCTGTTTGTCAACTGTTTACTTTTATTTATTTCTCACATATACGATCAAAAGTTAAATGTAATGACTGTAATGCTTGCAAGTGACTTACGTTCTCGAGGGTCTGCTTGGACCAAGCCTCACTCACTCCTTGCTTTTTTTTGGGAAGGAACTGTCGACTGATCGTAGTCTCCACTCGTTTTCCCGTCACTTCCTCTTTGGATTCATTTTTTCTAGGCTCCGCGGGCCACATTTGATTCCAATTTCCTTTCCCCACACTGTTCTGATTTCCTTCCAATCTGGGTATCTGGGATGTTGCCCGCGGTGTCGTTTTCAAATCCATTATTGTGCTTCCATCTGGAATCTTATTGCTCTTTTCACTCAAAAAACGAAAAATTTTTTTGATAATAACGAAATAAATTTGATGGATAAATTCATAAATTTTATAATAAACAATTTATGTAGCGATAACTGCATTAGTGAATTAATTAATATGTGCTATCATAACACAGAAAGGAATCTGTTGGTTTAAAAGTTTCACGCGTTATACTCTCGTCAAAAAGTGATAAAATAGTAAAGTGAAATGAAATTGAACTTAAATTTTTGCTTCAAAAAAAATTTAAATAGTAACAAAAGATTTAGTTTTATATTTTCGGAATGAAATCCCATTAAATTTGGAAATTTGATTAATAAGTCTAGATTACTTTTAAAAACTGAATAAATGCGCAAGTGCGAGAGCACTCAAAAGCAGTGCTTATTCCAATTGTTTTGCGATGTATGCAAATAATTTTAGATTTTAATAATTTTAGTAATTCACACAACTAAAAGGGATTTGAACTAATTAGTAGATTGCAAAGTATTGTTTTCAAATTAATATTTTTTCTTTTCTTTCATTTTCCAAAATTGTATTCAAATTTGGATTTTTGTATATTTGCAAACTTTTTCATAGAGTTTGCAGTAAGGTTCCGTCTATTTTGTTAAAAAATGTATCAAAACACAATCATAAAACGCTTTTATTTCTAAAATACTATTAAGTTTTAGGATGATAAAAGTGATAACAGAACTTTAGTGTGTTTTATTATTATTATTTGAATAATATTAATGCAAAATTATAATTATATTCCTGACTTGAGTAATAATTTTTTGTTTTTGTAAAAGTATTATTAATAATGTGATTACTAATTAATGCAATAATAACAGCAATAATGGCGATAGTAATAAGGCAGTTGGACAACCTAAAATATATTTTAATACAAATTAAAAGAACAAAATATGAGAAATTTTTGCATCAATAATTTGGGTCATTCTCGACAAGAAACGCAAGAATTAATGCGTAAACGAACTGACATGACAGGTAGTGCTGCTGAAAACAGCGCAATATTTGCTCTGATCACATCACTTTCTGAGAGGACATTTTACTGAAACCACCTTGAAATTCCTATATTTCTTTACACATTTGCCACCAACAAAGAATGACTAAAATTAACTATTTTAAAAACAAATATTGACGTAGTCAACAGCTGCTGACAACGAGACTACGTCAATTTGTTTGCATGCATAGGCGATAAACGTTTAAGTCAGACATTGATGGCGGGAAAATTGCTAAATATTGCATAATTTACAAGATGTGCAACTCTGGAGCATGAAAAAGTTAAATTTTGTACAACAGTTTTGAATTAGTTAATCAGCTTACTACGTGAATTTGCTACAATTACACATTTGTATAATTGACTTGTAAAAAAGACAATAAAAAGTGAGAAATTTAGTCGGTAAGTATTTTAGCGGTTAAATGACAAATACAAAAACATTAATTTGTTAAGAAAAGTCTAAAAACCGTTGCAAATAATTTAAATTTTAAAAATTTCTGACGCAACAGTCTTTTTACAAAAGAATATTACAAATTTGTACAAAAGAATACTGCAAATTTGTACAAAAGAATATTGTAAATTTAACTTTTGTAAGGTTTATGAGCAAATCAAAGAAAAGTAATGAACAAGTCTAAAACGTTACTTTGAGAGTAACGAATATTGAAGAAAAATACTATTCCTTAATTATGAACTATTGTGTTATTATGGAATTTTTAGGTTATAAAAGAGATTTTGCCAAATCGAATCTGAAATCCACATTTGGATCTGATTTATTTCTCTCTACTATTGTCTATCTTATCAATGAAATTGTTCTTTGTCAGGAAAGTTTCTTTCCTGATTGCAATCAAATCAACTCACACTTCATATTTGATATGAACAGTCTTCACTCCGAATCAGTTACTGAAAAGAATTCACAGCAGATCATCTCAGAGATTATAATACCTTTTATCCTATCTTTCTGATGTAATTTTTGTGATTACTTTTGATATATTAGAATTTTTCAAACTTGAAAAATGAATTTATGTTCAAATTAAATTATTTATTTTGTATTTTTAAGCTATTTTTTTAAAATCTTAGTTATAAATGATTTTTTTTCTGAGAAAATAAAAAATGCTTTACGATTAGCAAGTAGCGGTTGAAAGGTAAAGGTTTCTGAATCTAAAATCTTTGTAAAGTCATACGATGGGATTTAGAGGGGCAATACTGCAATAAACAAAGCAAAACAAGACGGATATTTCAATCTAACATCATTCCAAATGAATGGCACGAACTTAATTTTTTTAATGAAAATTATTAGTTTTTATAAGTTCAAAAATTTTCAAACATGATAGTCTATTATTGAGAAAGAAGAAATTCGAGATTCAGATTCTTATTTAATTATTACATACTCCTTTTCAGGCTCATTTTTACTACTACCATAGCGCATTTACTGACAGCCATTTGAAACGTTTACTTTGTAAATTTCTCATCCAAAATTTTAAATGTTTTATTGAAAAACAAATTCAATTCGCAGATTTCAAATTTAAAAAGTCTTAACTTTTTCAAGATAAAATATGCACAATACTGTTTTGTTATGCACTGAAACAATTTATCTTATCATAAATATTTAACTGAATTCAAATTTGAAACCTGATCTAACGTACACGGCAAGTTTAACTAATCTCCGATTACATATTATGTGTGCATTTATCTGATTGAATGCCAAATAATATTACCATAAATAGAATGCTATAACCACAAAAGGTCGCAAAACTTCGCTTGTAAAAATTTGGGAACTTTTGCTTTTTAGTATTGAATTTTTTAATATTTTCATATTTCAAAGTTTGTTATTAATTCTAAAAGAACTTTTTAGACGTGAAAGTGTTACAGTTTAGGTATTTTCTCATTAAAAAAAGAATTAAGCGCGCAATTTTTCTATAATTGTGCACAGAACTACTTGAAAATATATAAAACCCAAATAGCGTTTTATCAAAATATCAGTAAGTCAGTGAGTTAGCTAAATTATCATACTAAAATATTACTAATTAAATTAGGAGTTTTAATAAAATAATAAAGCATTTTAATGTTTGAAAGATTAAACTTTCGTATGAATAGAAGAAAAAGAGATTCCAGAATGAAGTATTATGGATATTGGTTACACAATAATCTTTTCTTTAAACTATGACCTTATTTTCAACTAAATTCTTATTTCATAGAATTAAGATAGTTTTCATGAATAAAATGAGTAGTAATCAAACGTGCCAATAACAAATGATCTACAAATATGCATAAATGGTTGAACAATTGAATATATTCAATTCACAATCAAAAATGAATAGAAAACACAAACTCAAAATATTGCAAGTAGTAATATCATAAATGATCTTAATGTTTGTACAGTTAGACAAAACGAAAATCATTTATTTGATGACCTGAATTTTTCGCCACCGAAAGAGAAGACAACACCGCAGAAGTTATAAAGGAATGGAATTTGAGTTTGTTTTAATTCCATTTCTGATCTCAGAAGTGATGCAGGTGAGAAGAGGGTAAGAATAACGATGACCTTGCAGAAATTCACGCACGCACTTTTTGCTACTTCACAATTGTATACTTAATTTCATTCCACGTTGATTACTATTCGCAAATTAATTAAACAATTTGCGTATTTTACAAATAAAAGCAGTCATTGCAGAAAAAAAGTTTGACTGTAAAAAGTTGTAAATTATAAAACTTTTACAAATACTATTGATATATCTGTTCTGAGATTGCATTGTATATATCCACAATACTTTATTACAATCCCAAACACCAATATTTTGATAAATACATGTTATGCTTCATTTGTTATATGTATTATTGTATTTGCAATTCGGAATAGTTGCCTGTGATTCATAAAAATGGTTAGTTTAATGAATCATGCCTTTTTATTGTATACAATTTAGAAAATATTATATTCGTTACATGATTCTGATAATGAGGCAAAATACTTTGTGAAGTGAAGCCATAAACTTCTAAAACTTGCGTGAGTACATTTTTTGTCAAACTTGTTTCATTCTTAATGCACTTCTTTTTTTTGAATATTTTGACTTATTTTTTTAGTAAATGAGTACAGCTTTTGTCCCTGACTTATTTGTGTATGCATTTATTTTTACTAAAAGTAGTCAAAGTAAAGTGAAGCAAGTTTATTCATTGCAAATTACGCAAATTAAACAAACAAACGAATATTACAGCAATTATACGTAATACGTACGTCTAGAAGGCAAGTGTAGAAAGAAAGCTGATAACAATAGTTAGAATATTATATACATAACTACTTGAATATAACTGTTTCACGAGTAGATATTCAATCTAAGTTTATTATCTAGAAAATAATCAACTGTATTTAGCAACACTAATTGCTTGATGTTTGACAACAATTCTGAAACATTTTTCGAAGAAATATCACAGACTTATCGTTTTTCAATCACACAATTTTTTCAGCATTAGTCGACGAATCAGCACGAAATTAATATTAATGTAAGTAATTTTCCTTACAAAGTCGAAAATATCATCATTACTTCAACAAAACTTGTATTAATTTGTTAATTCAAAAGATTAAACAATTGTAAGTTAGAAATTGATAAAATAGAAAGGATTAACTAAATAATTTCAGACTAGACTAGTTTTCAGTACTCAAATTTATTCAGGAAGCTCAAAAATCTCAATAACTTTAAGCAAACTGTTAGTAATTGAAAGTAATTAAAGCTATTACTTAAGCAACACTCTGTTTAGTGATACAGAAATTCTTGTACTGATAAGGCAATATTACTGTTATGACAGTAAAAATAAGACTAATGGAATATTTAACAATAATTACTCGTCAATTTGCTTTGTAAAAGAATTTCTGTATGTTTTCTTCAGTTGAAAGCATTTAATATTTTAGTTTGAATTTTAAGCAAATTTATTAACTCATTAAAATGCTGCAGATAACCATTTGGTTAAATTGTGAATCTACTTAATACACACCGAGCAAACATAAGGCAGTAGATATTTCAAGCACATTTGAGTACTGTAATGCAAAGTTAATCCCAAGCACTGTTAGCATTGATGCTATTGACTTGATTAGTTCACTTCATGTACTGAATGCTTTGCTGATAATTTGCAAAATATTAATTTTTCGAAAATATTTTTAGCGACTGAACCGAATTTCCTACTTTTCACGCTTTTACATTTTTTGTCCTTCGTTGAAAAACAGAAAAAATTGAGAAATTTTGATATTTCATATTTTTTCGAATAATCAAGCAGAGAAAAGGCGTAGTATGCTAATTAATAATCATCTTCAGTAATTACCAAATATAATTAATTTGCACATTAATTTATATCTAAAAATGGAACAGATTTAGTGCTAATCAGAAAGAACAAATTCATTGGTTATATAAACTTCTGCTAAACGAGACATAATTGTAAGAGCCAGGTGGAGCATTGCTTGCTTGAAAATGCTTCATTTTCTTGATACAGTATTCTGCTTGATCCGCTGGTAACTCGCGACGAATCTCCTCAGCTGTGATATATGACTGCAAGAAGGATGAAAATTCAACAAGCATTATAATTAGTGCTTAATATAAAGAATTCTAATATCTATCTGCTTAATATGAAGAATCCTAATATCTATTTGCTTAATTTTTTAAATCAATTTCGCCTATTCAATATTTAAGAATTGTTTAATTTTACCTTAAACTCTTTAATAAATTTCGTTTTTTAAATCTCTTTTGAATATTAAATTGAGAATTCAAATTAGAAACTAGAAAAGTATACTTTTCCGCCAGAAAGTACTCGAAATGATTCAATCATTTGTTCTGCTGTATCCGCATCACCTGTTTCACGAGTTATAAAATCCAAAAATGCATCAAAAGGAATTCTTCCCATTCGATTTGGATCTAACACAGATAGTATTCTGTTCATGTCTTGATCACCCTTCAATGATAATTACATTTGTTTAAACGGAACTCCAATCTTACACTCAACCGTATTTCTTTTCAGTGTTATTATGGATACAAAAGTTCTTAAAAACAAACTGTACTTCTTTTCCAGGTCGAATATTGTAACCAATTGATATGAGGCATGACTTGAGTTGTTCTGGGTCAAGTCCTTGCCGGTCTTTGTCAAAATGATTGAATGATGAACGGTATTCATTCAGCTGCTCTTCACTGATTCCTTTGCTGTCTCGCATTAGCATCTTTGCAAAACAATTT